TAACCACAGGAGAAACCAAGCTGTGGGTTTTGAAGGATTAAAACCTACCACTGCCCTAGACTGAAGTTGCGGGGGGATGATCTCTAGTGAGCTTTTTAGCATGCGTTTAGGAACTTTTATTGTTTTCATATGTTTTCTCTATAATGCTTTTACCTGAAGAATAAATGTGGTTGCTTAGAAGGAGCTGTGTGGTAACTTATAACTCTGGGCAATACACTGGTTATAAAGCAAAGCACAGGTGCTGGCCTGTTCAGGCAGACTGGCTTGCTGACACTATCACAGTGTATGGCAGGGAGCTATGCAGACTTCAAATCCCCGGTCAGGAGGGAGTGATGGCTGGGAGCCAGAAGCCTAAAGACGGTGCTGTTGGTGGACCATGGTGGGGGAATACAGCTGCAGCATCCCTCGAACTGTGACATATGCAACTATATGGGTGATACAGCACTTATTTATACTTGGCTCATTATTAGAGGCTACCAGATGGTGCAGCTTTAGCAGTACTGTTTTCCTATTATCAGTGGATAAGATACTGCAAAGTCTACCAGTATTTAATCCTGGGAAAAATCATGACCTGCACTATCAAAATTTGGAGGCTGATTTAAAGGGATTACCGAATAAAATCTAAAAGGTGCAAGTGCTTTTATGTGAAACCCCTCTGTAGAATATCGTAGAGTCGCTGTACATTCTAGAGGAGTTCATTCATCCCTTCAGTGGGAGTTGAGGGCACTCATTGCCTCACAGGAGTTCTTAACACTTGACAGGGCCAGGCCTTTTATGACTAAGGCCCTGACCCTGCTGAGACTTATGCATATGCCTCATTTTAAGTGTGTCAGTAGTCCTATTGAACTTAATGCCCTCATTGAGTTCAATTACATGCTTAAAGTTAATCACATACATGCGGTTTTGCAGGGCCTAAGGGCCACATAGGCAGCTCATGAACTGTACAAGCTGCAGGCAGGCAGCCAGCAGTCTGGAGGCAGTTCACATCAGCCTAGGGTTACCATACGTCTGGATTTTCCCGGACATGTCCGGCTTTTTGGGCCTCAAATCCCCGTCCGAGGGAAATCCCAAAAAGCCAGACATGTCCGGGAAAATTGGGACGTATGGTAA